CATTCTCTAATGTTTCAGCTGACAGTGGGGTTCCCCACAGCCAGCTGACTGTAAAAAGAATTGCCAGCAATTAAAAAGAAAACCCACATGGGTTCCCCGCCAAAGCACTTTGTCCCCATGTTGATGGGAACAAGGGTCTCTTATCCAAGACCCCCCCAAGTGAATAATTATGGGGTACATGCTCGATCACAAAAAAAAGTGTAGTGTAAAAAATGACAGTAGACAGTCTTTGACATGTCCTTTATTAAAAGCAAAAATTAAAAAATGTCCCCTGAAGTAGATCCAATGTCAATCGCAATGCTGGCTGCAACCGCCGACCCGAAAAAAAGAAAAAAAAAAAACGCTTTGTTCTCGACGCTGGCTCCTGCCATCTGACAGCTGTGTCAGCCTGACAGTTCTTAAATATCTAAGGGGTGGAGGCCATCCGGTGATGCCACTAGGTGACCCTGCTCCCTCGTGACATCATCATGCAGTGTGATTGGCCAAAGCATTGCACCTGACCTGTAGTCAGGTGCATTGCTTTGGCCAATCACAATGCACTGTCAGGGTGCATTGTGGAGTGCGGCAGGCGCACAGCCCACCGAACACCCTTACCTTGTATGTGCTCACCAAACACACGAACGGCTGATGTTTGAGTGGAATGTACATTTGACTGGAAAATCAAGCCCAACTCTAGTTAGCAGTCCAAATTAGAAAAGCAGCCCAGAGTGGCAATACTGTTGCTCCAGTACAATGAGTATGCATTGTCATTCCAGAACAGAAAGTCTTATACTGGTAGGATCACCATGTGAAAACAAAGGGGAAAAAAAACCCTGGAAAAGAAAACTAATGGAGCGTCCACTTCCAAGTACGGACAAGTTGCAAAATAAAGTATTACATTTATATAGTATTTATAACACAAATCATGTTCTCAGCAGAAATACATTATATTTTCCTCTTAATACCTCACAGAAGACAACCTGTGTATTTGCCCTTTAAATTTTAGTTAGTACACACACTGACAAACTGGTAGTAGATTACCTCATTCTCCATGGATGTCTTTGGGTCAGTGGGCTCCTGGCAGTGACCATCTGGCAGTGAAAATGAAAAACATGGCTATTACTCTTATAATAAACTTGTCTGAGCTGTCTGTGATAGCCTTTGTTGCTGTATCTAATGAGTGAAACCTCTTGGCGGCTAGATCTGTTTGAACTCAATTACCTAGAAAAGACAAACTAATAAATGGAACCATTACATTGTAATACAAATGAAGTTAGAGAAGTTGTCTGTAATCCTTTTTCATAAAGTGACCAGTGCTGCACGGTGGGCGGCAGAGCTGAGATATCAAGCGGCATCACGTCATCCTTCGCCATGCCAGATCGGCTCTAGCTGTCCATCCTTCCGTTATGGTCCCCGCTGGATGTCAGAGCTGTGATTGGCTGCAGGTGATGTCATACTATAGTCCTGCCAGGAATACCCACTTAGGCTGCCAATGCTAACAAATTAACATCTGCCCTACCACAAAGCAATACAGAACAACAGGGGGTGATTATTAATGACAACAACCAAAGTTTCTACTGGGAGTAATATACCTTAAAGGAGAGCTCCATACTGAAGTAAAAATAAAGATACCCTGCATGTGAATTCCACCATTTTCAATGGCTTTTACAAATTTAATTTAGGTCCTTACCCACTTTTTTAGGACATATTGATGTAGGCCTTGCCAAGACTAGTTGACTGCTGTGTGGGAGGGTCTGCCATCATATCATCAGTATACATTTTGTAGGGAAATCAGCCTTCGCCCTTCTGCCTAGTACACACAATCAGAAAATCGGATGAAAAATATTGATTTCTAAGCGATCGTATGATAATCTGATCGTTAGTACACAGCTTTTGATAGCCGATCACGATAGTTCATGAGAAAGTATCTGCATTCTCATATGATAACAGAACTAATGTACAATAACAGAATGAGTATTTGTCCAGAAAAAAATAGAAGACCAAGAACATGCATGCTCAGAAACAAAAGAATACATTACAATACAATACAATACACTGCATCACTTCTCTGTCATACAAGAATTTTCATAACTTTAGTAACCTCTTCATTTTCAGTATGAGAATAGTATGAAAAAAGACCAGATGATCATTTGTTCGATATTCTCACAGTGTGTACAAGGCTTTAGCACCTTAAAGCCCAACTCAGGATAAAAGTAGCCTCCTTACATTCTTCCTTATCTGACCCCTCTATCTGATTGCTGGTTTCCTCTATGTTTACGTCCTGGATGGGTCCTTCTTCTGGATGTCCATCCATCAGCATCCATCTGCTGGTTTCTGCGCTTCACTGACGTCACTTCTGGTGCGCGCCGACATCACTTCCGGTGTGCAAATTCCGGGGACATCTGAGGCAGCATCCTGTTCTGTGAGTGGTACCTTCTCACAGTTGGCGACCTATCTTCTAGCAGGGCAGCTCACAGGATTCCTCTCCACTGCCTACTGCACCCTGGTCTGGATGTACCTGTTTCCTCAGCAGTAAGCCAATTTTATTGACCACATTCACACATTTGGGTTATACCACCCACCTTTTCCTTCGTTTACATTGGACATATGACTAGGAACAATGGTTTTAATTCCATTCAAGTGGATAATAAAATCTTTCTTTTTTACTTTGGATAACATTGTCATCATCCTTGCTAATTTTTAATACTTTACTGGTCACTATTAGTTTGGCTCTATGCCAATAGTGCTCAGTATCAGCTACTGTTCTTCTTCTGGGTGTCCAGATCACTGGCTTCATGATGTAGACTGTTCCAATTGGCTGACCAGCAGAGGGTACGTCTTAAGATCCAGAAGAGCTCTGACAGCAGACCGATGAGAGTGAAGGGGACAGGACAACAAGCAGCTTGCTATATGGGCACACAGTGCATGCTCACTCCTGAGCTGTGTGTGTCTATGGCGCCACGAGCAGTAGACACACAGAGTGGCTTAGTCCTGCCCCCCACTTTCTCCTCACATCATTTGATTGACAGCTACAGGAATTCCTGCTGCTGCCCGAGTCCCTGTGTGAAGAGGAAGAGAGGAAAGGAGAGATCCAGCCATGCACATCACTGGATCAATTGAGGACTCAGGTAAGTATTTATGAAGATGGGGAGGAAAGAAAGCTGTAAAACATTTTTTTCCTTAATGCAGAAAATGCATTAAGGTGAAAAAAAGTTTTGCTTTTAGAACCACTTTAAGCCTGCTATACATGGAATGAAATTCAGTCGGTTCAGCATGGGCCAGACGAATTTCAATCCATGTATGGGCAAGTACAGAAGTTGATCTCCTAGTTGACTTCTGTACAACCACCCTCTCGGATTTTCCCTGCTTGATCAGCTTCGCAGGCTATAGCTGGCAATGCAGATTATTGTATTCTGTCAGAATATAATAGTTCAGAGGGGAGGATTCCACCATACACCTCAAAAGTGTGGATGGGGAAATTGAGTCAGTTTTTTTTTGTTCAACCCACTGGTTGAATAAAAAGATCTGATCCATCTATGGGCTACCTATTAAGGCCAATCAACTTGGAGCTGAGGCAGGGCTTCTTCTCTTAAATCTGGCCAGCTGGGGGTGATAGAGTGAAGTCATAGTGAGTTTAAGGCCTCATGCACAGTGGGTGTTAAAAACGCTACTGTCAGGGCTCCGGGTATGACCAGAGGTATGTGAACTGACGCAGGGAAACGCAGGCTTCAGATATGTTATAAACAATATAATTTATTAATACTAACAATACATAAACGCAGTGCAATACTAAAACATAACACAGTGCAAACGAACCAAACCACCCACAGATAACAATACATACAATGCAAGCGTAGTCAGGCAGGCCGGGTCAATAACAATCGGGCAGGTAGGAACAGGAGGAGCAGGCAGAGAGTAGTCAGGTCACAAGCCGGGTACAGCAACTAACGGGCAGGTAGGTACAGGGGGTCAGGCAGAGAATGGTCGGGGTCACAAGCCAGGGATCAAACAGGAGAAGTCAGCAGAGGTCCGGATCAGGCAGGGTCGGCAACAAATCAGTCAGGCAGGAACAAGAACAGGAACAGGAATGCAGGTAACAAGATACAGGGGCCCATGGAAAAACACACACCAAGGCACAGACTGCAGGTCTGGCCATCCCTTAAATACACCTGCAATCAGCCTCAGGTGTTTTGGCTGACTGCAGGTTGAGTCTCTGATTGCTGAGAGCACCCGCTGGGCAGCCCTGGTACTGCAGCCCACAAGGCAGGTGAGTCCCACCATTATTGGCAAGTCCATTCCTGACAGTACCCCCCCCCCCCAAGGAGCGGCCTCAGGACGCTCCAAACAGTCCTAGCTGGGCAAAATTTTCCACCGCCCGGGTCTGGTAACTGGCGGGATATCAAAGACTGGCACATCGGGCTGGACTCCGGGCAGAGGCACATCGGGCTGGACTCCGGGCAGCGGCACATCGGGCTGGACTCCGGGCAGCGGCACATCGGGCTGGACTCCGGGCAGCGGCACATCGGGCTGGACTCCGGGCAGCGGCACATCGGGCTGGACTCCGGGCAGAGGCACATCGGGCTGGACTCCGGGCAGAGGCACATCGGGCTGGACTCCGGGCAGAGGCACATCGGGCTGGACTCCGGGCAGAGGCACATCGGGCTGGACTCCGGGCAGAGGCACATCGGGCTGGACTCCGGGCAGAGGCACAGGGCCCCCAGGAGGAGCGGCAGGCACAGGGCCCCCAGGCGGGGCAGCAGGCACCGGGCCCCCAGGTGGGGCAGCAGGCACCGGGCCCCCAGGCGGAGCGACAGGCACCGGGCCCCCAGGTGGAGCGACAGGCACAGGGCCCCCAGGTGGAGCGACAGGCACAGGGCCCCCAGGAGGAGCGGCAGGCACGGGGCCCCCAGGCGGGGGGGGTGGGCACCGGGCCCCCAGGCGGAGCGGCGGGCTCTCAGGCGGGGCGGCAGGCACCGGGCCCCCAGGCGGAGCGGCAGGCATCGGGCCCTCAGGCGGAGCGGCAGGCATCGGGCCCCCAGGCGGAGCGGCGGGCGCCGGGCCCCCAGGCGGAGCGATGGGCACCAGGCCCCCAGGCGGGGCGGCAGGCACCGGGCCCCCAGGTGGGGTGGCAGGCACAGGGCCCCCAGGTGGGGCGGCAGGCACCGGGCCCCCAGGCGGGGCGACAGGCATTGGGCCCCCAGGCGGAGCGACAGGCACAGGGCCCCCAGGAGGAGTGGCAGGCACAGGGCCCCCAGGCGGGGCGGCAGGCAACGGGCCCCCAGGAGGGGCGGCGGGCACTGCGTCATCTGGCAAGGCAGTGGGCACCGAGTCACCAGGCACGACAGTGGGTTCCGAGTCAACTGGCATGACCGTGGGCACTGGGTCAGACATTGGATCGTCTGGCTCGACAGCGGGCATCGGGTCACCAGGCATCACGTCATTAGGCTCGACAGCGGGCACCGCGTCATCTGGCAAGGCAGTGGGCACCGAGTCACCAGGCACGACAGTGGGCTCTGAGTCAATTGGCACGACAGCGGGCACCGGGTCATCAGGTACCGGATCGTCTGGCTCGACAGCAGGCACCGGGTCATCTGGCGCTGGATCGTCTGGCTCGACAGTGGGCATCGGGTCACCAGGCATGACCGCGGGCACTGGGTCATCAGGCATTGGATCGTCTGGCTTGACAGCGGGCATCGGGTCACCAGGCATGACAGCAGGCACTGGGTCATCAGGCATTGGATTGTCTGGCTCAACAGCGGGCATCGGGTCACCAGGTATGACAGCGGGCACTGGGTCACCAGGCATCAGGTCATTTGGCTCGCCAGCGGGCACCGTGTCATCTGGCAAGGCAGTGGGCACCGAGTCACCAGGCACGACAGTGGGCTCCGAGTCAACTGGCATGACCGCGGGCACTGGGTCAGACATTGGATCGTCTGGCTCAACAGCGGGCATCGGGTCACCAGGTATGACAGCGGGCACTGGGTCACCAGGCATCAGGTCATTTGGCTCGACAGCGGGCACCGCGTCATCTGGCAAGGCAGTGGGCACCGAGTCACCAGGCACGACAGTTGGCTCTGAGTCAATTGGCACGACAGCGGGCATCGGGTCACCAGGCATGACAGCGGGCACTGGGTCATCAGGTACCGGATCGTCTGGATCGACAGCGGGCACCGGGTCATCAGGCATTGGATCGTCTGGCTCGACAGTGGGCATGGGTCACCAGGCATGACAGCGGGCACTGGGTCATCAGGCATTGGATCGTCTGGCTCGACAGTGGGCATCGGGTCACCAGGTATGACAGCGGGCACTGGGTCATCAGGTACCGGATCGTCTGGATCGACAGCGGGCACCGGGTCATCAGGCATTGGATCGTCTGGCTCGACAGTGGGCATCAGGTCACCAGGCATGACAGCGGGCACTGGGTCATCAGGCATTGGATCGTCTGGCTCGACAGCGGGCATCCGGTCACCAGGTATGACAGCGGGCACTGGGTCATCAGGCGTGAGAGGATCATCAGGCTGGATCAGTTCGTCAGGCTGGGTACAGACATCAGGCTGGGTAGAGACATCAGGCTGAAGTGCGGGTGCCGAGGCACCAGGCTGAACCACGGAAGGCAGGTTCTCAGATGGCAGGCTCATCGGTTTGGATACTGGCAGGATGGTACTGGTTGGAAAGAATTTTCGCTTTTTTCTGGTTTTAACTACTGGAGCACTGCAAGTAAACGCAGGTCTGCAAACGAATGGAGCAGCTGAGGACAGAGAAGAGCTGGAAGATGGAACAGAGGAGGGAGCAGCCGCCACAGAGGACCTCTCCACAGGGCCAAAGAAAGGATAGGTGCAGCGAGTGGGAGCAGGGGACTGGTATGTGGTAGTTAGCAGAGTATACTGGGCCGTCACTGGGGGTGCTGTCGGGGATGCAGGAAGAGTGCCTTGAGCAGAGGAATGACGTTGCAAGCTGACTGAGGCTGGGTGGAACAAGTCTGACCATGTCTGCAGTATGGGTTGAACAAAGCTGAGCTTACACAAAGCCTGTCTGGTCAAAGACTGCACTGCGTTTATACAATCCCTTAATACCTGTGGTGAACATGCAGCATAATGCTCCAAGAAGCAATCCACATCATCCTCTAATAACCATACCAGGGACTCTACCTGGTCTGCACTAAATGGTGGCAAAAAGTCATTCCTGCTTTCAGGGGTACCAGATGAAGCCAACTCTACACAAACCTGAATCAAAGGTTGCACCTCAGAGAACTCTGTGTCCTGATCTACTAGAACATGAGCGATCCGTATACATTCTAGCAGTTGATCCCGGGTATACTCCCTCAGAGTCTGATAAGCATATTCTCTGTCATCAAAAACTAGCAGCGACAAATACACAACCTCATCAAGATCCATCCTTCCCAGCAACAAGCCAAGATGGCTTCCCTGTGCAGCCACTTCTGGTCAGGATTGGCCTTGGTGTAATGTCAGGGCTCTGGGTATGACCAGAGGTATGTGAACTGACGCAGGGAAACGTAGGCTTCAGATATGTTATAAACAATATATTTTATTAATACTAACAATACATAAATGCAGTGCAATACTAAAACATAACACAGTGCAAACGAACCAAACCAACCACCCACAGATAACAATACATACAATGCAAGCGTAGTCAGGCAGGCCGGGTCAATAACAATCGGGCAGGTAGGAACAGGAGGAGCAGGCAGAGAGTAGTCAGGTCACGAGCCGGGTACAGCAACTAACGGGCAGGTAGGTACAGGGGGTCAGGCAGAGAATGGTCGGGGTCACAAGCCAGGGATCAAACAGGAGAAGTCAGCAGAGGTCCAGATCAGGCAGGGTTGGCAACAAATCAGTCAGGCAGGAACAGGAATGCAGGAAACAAGATACAGGGGCCCATGGAAAAACACACACCAAGGCACAGACTGCAGGTCTGGCCATCCCTTAAATACACCTGCAATCAGCCTCAGGTGTTTTGGCTGACTGCAGGGTTGAGTCTCTGATTGCTGAGAGCACCCGCTGGGCAGCCCTGGTACTGCAGCCCACAAGGCAGGTGAGTCCCACCATTATTGGCAAGTCCATTCCTGACAGCCACTTTTAGGAGCGTGGGACTTTTTTATCTTCTACTAAAATGTTAGCCGATGTGTCCATGCACACATAGGCTTTACAGGCATTTAGAGACAGAATAAAGCACAATAAAATAAATGAACTCCCAAGTGCTTGATGCATCTAAACACATCCAAACGTGCCTAAACAGGTTTACAAAAACATAGCTTTATGACCATTTTTGACACTGTTTTTCTCTTGCCAGGAGGAAGTCATTTGGGGAAGCTGGGCAAATGGAGGCATAAGAAGCGGAGGGAGGGGACAATTAGGTGAAGCTGTTGAACAGGTTCACTTTAGTAGTTTAAAGGATAAGTTCACCTTTCATAACATGTTACATGTTACACCCAAATTCACGGTGTGACATGTAACATTTTATGAATACACCGGCACCCACTCCCCCCCTTTGACAGCTAGTAGGGGATCTTCTTTCCCCCCATTAGCTGTCAAATTTTTTAAAAACTTGGTCACGCAGGGCTCTGCTCACCTGGCAGTGTCACTCATGACTAAAAGATTTGTCAACCTCGGTCCTTAACTTTTACAATAAAGACACAAACTGCGTGACATGGCTTTAAATGGCCACAGCAGACCTTTTATTAACAAACAAATAAACAACATCCAATAAAACTATTTTTACAATGCAAATCCAACAATGCAACCAGGAAAGGGGTCTTTGGGTATCATTAAGACACACTTTATCACTGTAACCGCCCATGTTCTCAACTGCACTCCGAGCGGCTCGAAGACGTTACGACCTCACACATTCTTACATTTTCCTCCAGGGGACCTAGCTCTTGGGATAACCACCAATAACTAACTAGGTGGAAGAGCCATACCCTAGATGGGCCCCCAATTTGTTTGTAACAATATAGTTACACACGGACCCCCAAAGACCCCATGACCCGCTAAACTGCTGTGACAACGTTCCTTACTTTAATTTCCTGTCGGTTTGGTACAATATCCACCCACAAATGCTCACCCACAAAATCATACCCTTCAATCCCAAGAATACCAGGCACCTGGAATTTAGGGCGGGAGGGAGGGGAAGTTTTTCTCTTTCCGGAATGAATACCCATTATACCTTGCACGAACCACTCTTACGGCTCCATCCTGCCTATCCCACCTTAGGCTTCCAATCAAGTAAGAACTATGCCCCTTCACCACTAAAGGACCCAGATTTTAACTTCTCTCTGACCTGTTCCTCCCTTTAGTCCTACCAACCCTCCGTCTATTCTCCCTCTCTGGGTTGCACTTTCACAGTCCTCTGTGAATGAGAAACTGCAAGTCCCGTAGAGGCAATCTGTTTCTAGTTATCATTGAACTAGCATGGCTCTGTGGAGCACCATGGTAGTTCATTGATTCTTCCTGTCAGTATATCTGCTTGCCTGTACATCCCGTACGGGCAAGCAGATATACTGACAGATCTGCAGGAGACCCGGATCTGCTGGTCTCTGGTGCAATGATTTGCAGGCTTCTGCAACCAAAAATAATAAATGCACATTTTTTTTACCTGCAAAAAAAGTGCATTAATTATTCTTGGTAAAAAGGTGAACTTATCCTTTAAACTCAGATTTTAAAAAATGCCTATTCCTGAAACCTTTTTTTTGTCATTCTGATTGAAATCCACACATTCCTGTGCCTATTTCTAGATGGTATAGGCAAGGTGACACTAAAAAAAACAAGATTCAGGGTGGACTGACCCTTTACAATTCTCTATTTTATGTGATTCCATCTATGTTTGTGCCAGGTCACAGCTGAAATAATTTACCAGGCAGTGACTTTAGTATGCAAAGCACACTGCTAGCTGACTTTGCTGGGGATAAGTGTAGCACAAAAGCAAGAATTCAGGGATCAAGTTGTTACAACTTAATTATAAACCAGTAGCGATGTTGAAAGAGTACATTACTGGCGTTTGACTGATTACTGGAAAATAAAATGCTGATTTGCTGACGCAATTAAAAATGAATTTTCTTGTTGATTATACAGACCTCAGCTCATTTGAGGATTAAAGTTTTCGATGCATCTTAGAAAACCACATACAATTCCCAGAAAATCAAAGAATTACTAAATCCTCAAGGTTAGTGTAAACCTCAATATAATGCAGAGAATGGGAGAGAGATAAAAGAGTTAACAATCCTTAAAGCTAGTTTCAAACTTTGGTTTGTATAATTAACTGCATGTATGCTCTGCACAGCATCTGGAATTTCAGACCATTGCTGCCCAACAATTGCTGTCACGTTGTTACTCCAGACTGGTTCTAATATAGATCTGTGAAGTCACCCAAGTTTTACCCTGTGTTGAGCCCTGATGAAACCCTCATGTTGCATCTGAAACGTGTTGTTTTTTTTATAATGACTTATTTAGCAACCATTAAAATTATCTGAGACTCTTTCATCCAGTTTAAGTCTGATGCTCCTTTGTATATTTCTGAAATTTCAGATCAGGCCAAAAGTGGCTTTCTATTCCCTGACTGATTAAATCAAAGCGAAAAAAGATAACGAACAACTACTAAAGCTATTTTTTAAAACCATGATTTGTGTAATTAACTGCATTCATTCTTTGTACATACTGTAGAGCAGGGGTCTCCAAACTTTTCATTCAAAGAGCCAGTTTACTGTACCTCAGACTTTAGTGGGGCTGGATTGTGGTTAGTAGGGGTAGAACATGTCCTGGGCCCAGCACAGTGAAAATAAACATGGCCTCAGGGTTGGTGGTCAGTAAAAGGAAGTGTCAGGGCCTGGACTTGAACCTGGGACCTCTACTGCATCTGGCAGTAACTCTTCTCACTAAGCTACCTGGGATGCTGGACAACGCTCTTCCTGATCTATTGGATAATCCTGCCTTGTGTCTTGTTTTCTGCTGAACCTTGAACTCCTTGCTGCTCCTGTGAACTTCCTGATTTAAGCCATGTCTCTGCACTTCCTGTTTGCCAGATTATTGCGCCTTCTCCAACCAGTATCTCGCTCTTGTCTCTCCTGCTGCTGTCCATACCTTCGCGACCGACCTTTGGCTTGTTCCTTGACTACGATTCTGCCTCATCCCAACCTGCTACCACTTGATACCGACCCTTGGCTTGTTTACTGACTACGCTTCTGCTTGATCCCTACCTGCCATATCAGTTACTGGATCCTGGCTTGCTCACCTCCTGGTGGGGCGATCCTGAGAACTGCGACCTGGTACTAACATGCAGCAAAATCCATCTCCTCCATCAGGAGCTTTGGTGAATACCGGTTAGTGCTTAGACCCCGCACCCCAGGTGAGCCATCTCCCAGGGTGACCTGCTTGTTTACCTATCCTGTTGGTTGGTCTGCTGTTATAGCTACTGGTCTCTGAACCTGACCTCTGACCGTGACAGGAAGAGTATTGCCCCATCATTGGTATTAGTGGAAGGAATAATAACCCATCATTGGTATCAGTAGAAGAAATAGCGAACCATCGTTGGTATCAGTGGAAGAAATAGTGAACCATCGTTGGTATCAGTGGAAGAAATAGTGCCCCATCATTGGCATCAGTGGAAGAAATAGTGAACCATCGTTGGTATCAGTGGAAGAAA